CGAGAATGAAAAATCCCAACGCAACCGATGCTTCGTCGCTTTATTTCGCGAAGCGAAGGGGGAGAGGGGGGAGGGGAGATAGGTCGGCCGTTTCCGTCCATTTCCTCTTCCACGATGTTTTTTTCTCATAACTGGCCCGAACCGACCGAGAAACTACTGTCCTCGCATCCGAGAAGAGAAGTCAGGACAAAAGTCGGGCAACGACCAACGAATTCCTCGCGCCGATCGTCGAGAACGCCGCCGAATTCTCTCTCGATGCCGCCATTTCGACGAGACCGCGAATAGAGAATGTTTTCCCTTGGATCGAGACGATCTCCTCCTCCTCCTCCTCCTCCCCCCCACCCTTCCCTGCCCGCGTCGGCCGAGTCGAATTTTCCGTTCCTCTGAACGGAGGGAGGGAGGGGGGGAGGGGGAGGCGTTAGTATACCGTTTGCAGTTAAACAATATTACGTAGTAAAATTTATGGCCCCTCCCCCCCCCCCCCTCTGGCCTCGCCCTTACAATGCGCCCTCGGTGCCACGGCTGAAAGTATCAACGATATGAGAAATACGAGAGGCGTTATAGCCGGTGCCACCCCCGCGCCTACGATGATCCACGGCTTAACGGATACCGCCTCGTTTCTCATCTCTCTCCCCCTTCTTTTTTCTTCTCGAAAATCTCCTCGTCCGTGGCGGGTTTCTCATGATGACTCGTTTTCGAACATTGAAACATTCGAAATTCCGTGGATGGAAATTTTTTTTATTCCATGACTGGGCATCGAGATGGGGAAATTTCAAACGGGGATTCGTGCGACGGAGAGTTGCGACGTCTTCGGCGATGAGCGAACGAAACGTTAGATTCGTAGGGCGAGAAGAGGGAGGATCGCCGAAATCGAGGCTGAGAACGGAGAGGTCGCAGTTTACTTAGCTTTTTATCGTGGCGCAATCTCACGCATGTAAAAATGCTGCGATATTTCCCTTCCTTCGGGGGAGTCCCGCGAGTGTCGTTGCTCGACGTACGGGAGATGCGACACGTTCGTCACGCTCGATTCTCGCGCTTTTTACGCTTTTAATATAATACGCGCGTGATTCTCTTCTCTGTTTATACGCGCGATATAGAATCGTCCAGGGTCAAGGTTTCTTCTTTTCTTTTCTTTTCTTTTCTTTTCTTTTTTTTTTTGTTAATTTAGAATTCGAATCGTTTTAGGTGTTCGCGCGTTTTTTAAAAGCTAAAGTATCACGTGGACGACTCGCTCGATCGATGATATCAATCGAGCGATTAAACTTCGATCCACTTTTTTTTAAGTGAAAAATTATTCGTGTCGAATCTGGTATTTCTTCTTCTTCTTCTTCTTCTTCTTCTTCTTCTTCTTCTTCTTTCAATTCGCCAGATATGCGGTATAATTTAACCTTTTGGCTCGGCCAAGTGTGATTTTTAAAAAGGACATTCATATTTATGAGTAATTATTATATGGCATGGTAATTATTCCGCCGTTTTATTTATCATTGTCGACTCAACTTCCATTAAAGCAATTGGTGAATGTCGCTGAAACGTAAAAAAACAAGCTCGTTATTTTATTCATCGACAAGAACCCGTTTCCAAAGGGTTGTTTATCATTGCGAGAGATTCGGAAGAAATCTTAATTCGATCCCGAAATAACCACCCGTTTGTGGAAATCTGTCGTACGACAAATTTTCGAATCGTAATTTCCTTCCCTCGTTTGCAACTCGTAATCTTCGAATATTATATTATCCGATATGTTAATTTGTAAAATTTAAATCATAGAAGCACAAGTGAGTGGATGAAATAATATTAAAACCGACATAAAGATTTAAGATATTAATATTATCCAAACTGTTGCTAACTGCGACGCAATACTTACGAATACGTGAGCGAAGCATAATACGCTCTATAGAAAAGAATCTATATTCAGCTTCCTTTTTCTAGATCTACAAACACGATCAACTTACCATTCTCTCTCTCTCTCTCTCTCTCTCCTTTCAAATTATATTATATACTATAGTATTCGACTCGAATCAATTATTTATCGGTTAAACACCTGGTATGGCTCGGTCGAACTTGGTAGTAATCCAAGATACTACTAGTTTCGAATTGTTGACTTTCAACCGCGCCTCGAAGACGGGAGAGGAGAAAAATTAATCGAGCGATCTCTGGAGGGGGGGAAGGGGAGAGGCAAGATGGTCCCAAAATTCGCGTTAATAGCCATTTAGGAGTGTCTGCCGGAGTCGAAGGGACAGACGGGCACCGTCTCTTTGTACCCTTAATTTCATTAGGTCGGCCATCTCTCCTTTCTACCGGCGAACCGTAACTCCGTTATCGGGAAGCACGACTCCCTAAATACGACCCGTTAATATTTTTCCCCATCTCGAGGAAACGTTCCTCGACGCGTCGTTGTCGTTAAATAATCGTTTCCACCCCCGTTCCAATCAAATTAGCCCGTTCCACCAACCGTGGAACCATTCTCTCTCTTCTCTCTCTCTCTCTCTCTATATATATATATATTCTTCCTCTCCTTGTCCCTTCGAAAAAGAAGAAGAAGAAGAAGAAAAACTACTCGAAACAATTCTCACAATAATAAGAAATAACAAGATCGCCACGTCTCTCCGACCGAATTTTCGCGGGCGAAAATGGAGGGCAGTTCAAATTCCGAGGAGACACGGTTAAAGAAGAATATAATCGCGCGGATCCACTCGTTTAAGTCTCAAGGCGTGATGGTGGTGGTGGTGGTGGTGGTGGTGGCGGCGCACGAAAAAGCGCGCGGTTTCCGTCCACGAGTTTCCGTTCCCGGGAACAGGCAAACGGAGAGAAACTGCTCGAGAAATCGGCTGCGAAAGAGGAAAGGCTCGATACGAGAGGAGCGTCGCGATCGACGTATGGACAGCGGCACCGCACCACCAACGAGATCGCGAAAGGGGGGTGGCGCAGGAAGGAAGGAGCAGAGGAGAGAAGAAGGACATGGGAGGACCGCGAGAGAACGGGCGCGAACCGGAACGGGAACGCGAGCAACGCGCCACCACCATCGCCGCCGCCGCCACCACCACCACCACCACCACCACCACCACCACCGCCACCACCACCGCCACCACCATCGCCACGATCACCACCTCCGTGGTGCACGCCGTGACCTCCTCCCGCCGTCATCGGCGTTTCGGGAGGCCGATCGGCCTTCTCCACTCTCCGATCTGCCGCCGAGAATTTCTCTTCTTCCCGGCCCGGCCTGGGAGAGAAGGCCGCGATCGCGCGAGGGAGAAGGAAGGAGAGAGGCGGCGTTAGGCGGTCTCGGGGGGCGGCGCCTGTCGGCGCGTCCGATCGGAAGGCGAGGCCCGCGATTGGCCGCGGAGCGAGGGCGCGCGGCGTTCCTCCACCCGCGCCCGTCGCCGCTCTCCCTCCTCGTCGCACCACCTGTCTCCCTCGCCCCGCGCCCCTTTGTCCCGCCCGCGCCCGTCCCCTTCGCCCGCGCCTCTCTCGCTCCCTCGCTCTCGCCCGCTCCGCTCCTCTCTCCCCTCCCCCCTCTCGCCGTCCAACGACGCCGCCAACCCCCTCCGCCCCCCCTCCTCCCGCCCCGCGCCGCGGAGTCGGCGCCCGCACCGCGGCAAACACACGGTATCGGGCGCTCGGCCGCCTCACGGACCTCTCTACTTGCCGACTCGAGCGAGCCGTCGCCGCGGCGAGCCTCTCAGTTGCGACGCGCTCGTCACGGGGTGCAGATCGTGCGCGCTTCGTCGTGTCGCTCTATCGGTCTCTCCGCAACGCGCGCGGCCATAATACACTAACCGCGCGCACGTTTTTCCTTCCCCGTATCGAGATAGATAGATAGAGACAGAGAGAGAGAGAGGAAGAGAGATAGATAGAGATATACAAAGAGAGAGAGAGAGAGAGAGAAGGAGAAAGATCGTCGAAAAGAAATTTTTTGGTGTGTCCTTTGACGAGGGAGAATTTTTTTGTTCAGTGCTTTCTTATTTTTTTTTCTCCCCTCCCCCCGCTGTTTCTTATTCTTCTTCTTCTTATTCTTCTTCTTCTTCTTCTTCTTCTTCTTCTTCTTCTTCTTCTTCTTCTTCTCGGTGTGATTCTCTTCTCCTCTTCGTCGTCGTTGTTGTTGTTGTTGTTGTTATTGTGTTGTCGATGTACGATATACGTATTGTATAAAGTATACATACATGTATACGCACGCAATTCGATCAATCATCGGTGGCTCGACGAAACGAAGAGAACATTTTTGGAACATTTTTTTCCTTCGGGACAACAACGTGTTTTTCTTTCCGATTCTTACGAAGGAAGGAAGGAAGGAAGGAAGGGAAGAGAAAGTGTGAAATATATCGTGTGAATAATAATACAATAACGCAAGCAAAGTGAACGATAATTCGATTGATATCCATATATATATACGGGGAGAGAGAGAGAGAAGAGAGAGGGAGGGACACTGACTCTGGAGAGAGAGAGAGAGAGAGAGAGACAGAAGGAAGAAAGGTTCGGTTCGGTGGCGCGCGCGTGGAAACGCACGGTGTCACCCCTTTTTCGAAAGTCGCGCGCGAGCGCGCGCGCGCGCTGGCCCACGCCAGCCGGTTGGCTCGTATCCGCGACGGGTTGACGCGACGCGTGGATCATCGCTCGATCGTCGTTGTTTCGTCGTCGTGTTATCATCGCGCTTGGAAAACTTCATTCGATCGAAACTGTCGTGCGACAACGAGAGAAACGAACGGTGTGGAAAACGAACGAACGAGAGGAGAAAGAGAGGAAGAGAGAAAAGGATCGCGAAGGAGGGTGGTCACGGGGGGAAGAGAGAGAGAGAGAGAATGAAATCGGTGACGAACTCGTCCTCGGGTGAAAGAATCCCGTGCACGTTCGACGGATAATAGGCCCCCCGGCCGAGTTTCTCCCTCCCCCCTCGAGCAACGAACGAGGAGAGAAGAAAGGGGGAAGAAAAAAGAGAGCGAGAGAGAGAGAGAGAGAGATTAACTTAAGGAGACGCGTGGTTGTGTGTACGTGTGTACGTGTTCCAGATGCGGCCTTCGGCTGTCGATTCGAATTCGTCGTCGATCGGTGTATTATCCGCTCGGTAGAGAGGAGGAGGAGGAGGAGGAGGAGGAGGAGGAAGAGAGAGAGAGAGAGAGAGAGAGAGAGAGAGAGAGAGAGAGAGAGAGAGAGAGAGAGAGAGAGAGAGAGAGAGAGAGAGAGAGAGAGAGAGAGAGAGAGA